CTTGGACCCATACTGTTCAACATCTTCATTAATGATGTGAACACTGGAGTCAGAAGCGGACTGGCCAAGTTCACCAATGACACCAAACTTTGGGGCAAAGCATCCACACCAGAAGACAGGCAGGTTATCCAGGCTGACCTGGACAGGCTCAGCAAGTGGGCGGACGAGAATCTGATGGTGTTCAACGCCGATAAATGCAAGGTTCTCCACCTTGGGAAAAAAAACCCGCAGCATCCTTATAGGCTCGGCAGTGCTATGTTGGCTAGCACTATGGAAGAAAGAGACTTGGGGGTCATAATTGACCACAAGATGAACACGAGCCTGCAATGCGATGCGGCGGCTAGTAAAGCGACCAAAACGCTGGCTTGCATCCATAGATGCTTCTCAAGCAAATCCCGGGACGTCATTCTCCCCCTGTACTCGGCCTTAGTGAGGCCGCAGCTGGAGTACTGTGTCCAGTTTTGGGCTCCACAATTCAAAAAGGATGTGGAGAAGCTTGAGAGAGTCCAGAGAAGAGCCACGCGCATGATCAGAGGTCAGGGAAGCAGACCCTACGATGACAGGCTGAGAGCCCTGGGGCTCTTTAGCCTGAAAAAGCGCAGGCTCAGGGGTGATCTGATGGCCACCTACAAGTTTATCAGGGGTGACCACCAGCATCTGGGGGAACGTTTGTTCACCAGAGCGCCCCAAGGGATGACGAGGTCGAATGGTCACAAACTACTTCAAGACCGTTTCAGGCTGGACATAAGGAAGAACTTCTTTACTGTCCGAGCCCCCAAGGTCTGGAACAGCCTGCCACCGGAGGTGGTTCAAGCGCCTTCATTGAACACCTTCAAGATGAAACTGGATGCTTATCTTGCTGGGATCATGCCGCCCAGCATGCCCCGCGGGCTCCTCAGGCTGCTGGATACTGCCAAGCCCCTGGACCACCCCTGATTGGCTACTGGGCACAGGCAACCATGCCCCCAACCTCGTACTGCATCATCTATGAGCCACTGGCATCTCTCAGGCACAGACAAGCAGTGGGAATGGGGAAGGGAGGCATCTGTTTTTCTGTGTATGAGCCCCAGCACCTGGGCACCCACATCTCTAAGCCATGCCCCTGCACCCCATCAGGAAGCACCCCACAGTGTACACACAGTCCTGACAGAGCCCAGGAAACCCCTGTGCTCAGGCACAGCCCATGGAGCCTGACTGGGTGGCTGGACTCAGGCAAGTACCTGACCTACCACTGCCTGCCTGTGGCTGACAAATGATGCAGCAGTGGGAGGAGGCATGCTCACCTGGGCCTGGCAACCTGGTAGGGCTCTATGGGCCTGCACCTGAGCACAGGGGCTCTCCTGGGCTCTGTGTCAGGTGCACATGTACATTGTGGGAAGCTTCATGACGGAGCACAGGGACATGGCTCAGGGACGCAAGTGCCCAGGTACTGAGGTTCATGCATGGGAAAACAGATGCCACCCTTCCCCATTCCTGCTGCCTGCCTGTGGCTGACAGCTGGCCAGAGGTAGGAGCAGGACTGTGGAACGCATCTGTGCTGACTTGGCTCTATGACAGCTTGGGGGTAAAGCACACTGGGCACTCAGATGGAGCAGCTGAGAGCAGGGCAAGTGCTAGTGCCCCTCCTTATGAGAGGGGGCAGTAGGGGCCCATATAGGAGCCTGGCATGCTGGTGGACAGTGAACTAACTAAAATCAATAAGGGAGCTGGTATTGAAGTTAGATCCACCAGTCTAATCTAATTTAATTAAGTCTGAGTGCACCTTGATCCAGGTCTATCTTAGACCAGGTTATGCCATTTTTAGACCAGCCTGTATGTACTGAATTTCTGTTCTGTTATGGGCGTAGACCATTTTCTAATCACTTAGGCTGGTAAAAGTGTAGTTAATATCTGTACCTGGCTGAAGAGAGTATTTTCACTTTATGTCAAAAACAGCACCCAGGAAATTACTAGTCAGAGAACAATTTCTCTAAAGCCTGCTGCACAGAAGCAAAATCATTTGATCATTGGCTTTTATCCAATATGTTCTGAAGCCATAATTTCTTTTCCTGTGAGCCAAAGGACAAAAATAAGAGGATGTCGCTACATTAATCAACTGCAAGAGACAGTGATGACAACAAAGGCCAATCTCCAATCAAACAAGCCTCCTACAGCCTCAGACAAAAAGGAAAAAGCTTTAAAATCTTTTCGTATTTCAGTTGAGACACAACAATCTTGGTTAGATGTTCTTTGAAATTTGCTGGGCTCCCTCACTGTGCTCAGAGGACTGGCTTTCAGATGTGAATCCCCTCTGACTGGTTTGCTTCCAAGCATTTTCTTTACAAAATGAAGTGACAGACAAGAGACTTTGTCTTTCTTTTGAGGAAATCTTTGCTGTTAAATTGCTTCATTATCATAGAAAAATTACATCCTGTGAAGTCTTCACTCTGCATTTCTCAAAACATTTCACCAACAAAAATGCTCATCTGCTGTGTTTGTTGCATCCACAGTGACCTTTCATATAGGAACAAAACACCTTTTGGAGTGATTTAGTTGAGTCTTACCTGATACTGCAAACAAACTGAGCCACTGGGACAACTTTTCAGAGTTATGTCCCTAAAACAGAAATTTATTTCACAAATGATGGATTCCTTTTATTTGTTGAAAGCGATGGCTGCCTGCTGTAGATAATAGCACAATTTGGAATTCATGAGGTACTTACTTCTACAAAGAAGTGCGGTAATTACCATTCAGTGGAACTATTTGTTAAAGCTATAAATCAGATGAGCAAATGAATAGGAACAGAATATTTCTCTGAAAATCTAGCCTTGGACTTTGCAAGGACTCTTGCCTCTACACATACTGGAGAAATGTAAGAGTTTTTTTATTTAATAAAGGAGACATTATATAAAGACATTAAGCCACTGCCAGTGTGTGCAGCCGACTGGGAAATGAAAACTTTATAATGTTAGAGCACAAGATTTATAGAAAGAATGTGCCTATTAATGTCAATGGGATGTAGTAAACTGCACAAATTAAATATGAGGATAAATAGCACAGAACTAAATAAATCTGTCTCTGTGTATTGATTGAATGCCTTTTCATGAGCTGTAATTGTGTTGGTAACAGTTTAATTCATCATTAATTTTGCAATGATTTGCACAGAGGACACGGTCACAAGGGTTGCTTTAGCTGAGGACGCATTCTGACCTACCAATTCAAAGGAACATAAAGGAGAAGGAATAAGCAAAGTCCTTCCTCTTATAGGAATTGGGAATGTGGGAACTCCTTCAGGGAATGTGGCCTCTGCTCTCTGCTAATGCCTCTGCAGAAAAAGGTACCTGAAAAGGGGTGTGCCAAGGGCTCCATGCACAAGCCAGCAGAGTTTTGGCTATGCTGTGCCCTCTTACAGAGCTGTGTACCCCCATAAGAGTTTTAATTGAGCTGCATATCTTCCCATGATTCCCACCTCCTACCTGGTCCTTTTACTGGCCATCCATCAGTCCTAATGTGTCTACAGAACTGTATTGTCCTCAGTAGTAGCATACTGCCCCTGCACAGGTATCTATTTTCAATGGTAAAACCACATATCCCTTCTCGGCATCTGATGAATTGAATGCCTGCTTACAAAAGCTTATGCATCTCTGAGTTAATTTTAGAGATGTCATTAGTCATGTTATTCTCAAGTCAAGCAGAAGGCAGGGTGGTTTAGCACTTACAGACTATGTGCTGCCATTAGTAAGGGGTGAACATTAGCAGGTTAGAAGTCCGGGCTGGTTTTGGATAAGAGCCTGTTCATTTCATGTTCCTACCTGAACTATCCAAACTTCAAGACTTAGGGAAAATTGAGGTGACAGTAGTTAAAAAATGGCTTTACGTGCTTGCCTGAAAGACAATGCAACAAAACATCTGTACGAGAGGTGGCTCTGAGCCACGGATATGGATCTGAACATCTCCAAAGTGCAGGGATTTTTGGATCTAGTTTTTTGTTTGTCCTTTTACAGATGGGGATGCAGCTGTGAAATTTCATCCTTTGACATTTTTTCATTCATGTTAAAACCTCTGCCTTTCCCTATCTTTAATGCTGTCACCTTTACTGATTTGATCTTTCTCTTTTTGTGGGGGGTGGG